TACATACATACATACATATATATATATATATATGTATTTTATAATATAATATATATACATGTATATACATGTATGTGTACATATATATATATATACATACATATGTTTATATTATTTATAATATACATATATACATGTATATACACATAAATGTCACATATATTATAAAATACATGTGTACACATACATAATATATGTATTTATACATATATACATATACATAGATAGTTTTGAAAAACTAAAAAAAATCTAGTCCTAGTCCAAGCGTACACCAAACGCAGGATAAGTGTTATTCAACTTAGACCAAGCCAAGCCAAGCCAAGATAGCCCCTAAGCATAGTCCATGCCAAGACAGTCCTGTGTACCAAACGAGCCCCTAGTGACCAAAAGCAAAATCTGACTTGAGCTCAGCTCTTGTGCCACTAGTTATACTGCCATGCATTGTAATTTGCACGTGACCTTTATTCCAACGTACGTAATCTATCTATATCCTAGGCCATTCAATGGACCAAAAGCTTACTTACAATATGTTAATTGCTTGTTTTTGATAATTCAGGAACATGAATTATAGCTTTATAATTGTATGAAAGAATCAAGAAAACTTCGACTTCGGAAAAAGCCAATTAGTTCGATTACACTAATGAAACGTTAGGAGCCACCAATCACCTCGTCTCATTATAATTATACTTGTTTGTTTAAGGAGGCTCTTGAACATGTTTAGAATAGTTTCCAAATTTTTTTTAATGGAATCATTTTCCAGCTCAAAAGAAAGAATCATTTTCAGTTGAGACAAAGTTAATGACGCCCTTCTCAACAAACTTGAGCAAGAAAGTAACAAAAGAAGTAATGGGAGAAAAGAGTTTTGCTAGGGATATGATCTCATACAAGACATGGCATACGCGGGTGACCATCAATCGTCGAAGAGTGTGGATCCTATTGTGGGCTAACGTCCATTGACGATCTCACATGATGACTGTCTTTAGCTTTCCTCTGCTCGAAAAATTTGTATTGAACTGTCATATACTATATACCATGAAAAAAAAAAAACAACGGCAAGGATTCATTTTTGGTAAACTTGCTAGCAGAGTAATGATTTGCGTCGGCCAAGAAGGCCTAGCTCATATGAGAAGCATCTTCTTTTTTTTTGGGTCGTATATGAGAAGCAGCTGAATCACACAAGAGCATGCAATAACTTTTGAAATTGGTGAGAAATAACCAGACCTGTGAAAGTTAGTAGCAACTTTTTAGCTTTTTACCCCATTAACTTTTTGGGTAGCTTGGCAAAATTGCGAAGCATCAAGAGCCACAAATTTTGTTTGTTGTTTGTGGTGACCCCTGATCAGCAACCAAAGATACCTCTCTCTCTACACTAGTGACTGCATTGAAACATGATGAGGCCTGTGACGAGGAGTAAAGTTGCAAAGTCAGATGTACACATATGAAGGATGTGATTGCAACTCTAAGCATGAAATGAAACCATGATGGAATTGATGAGAGAGAGAGAGATAAAAGAGGAGGCAATTGACCCACACACTTCCCTTTGGTCATTGTCCAACAGATCTTACTGATTTGAGTTTGAGAAGACCCTTCACCTTGGCAATCACAGTGCCTTTGTTTGCTCCCAAATTCACTTTCTTATTCTCTCTCTTTCTCTCTTTGCAATAATCCCCAAAAACCCAGGAAGCATTGAAGAAAGAAGTAAGAAGTGAGAGATACAGAAAAGTAGAGTCGCAGTCAACCAAGTGCTTTTAAGTGCTTTTACTTGTTAAGCACCCCATCCTATGCATCCTTAAAAAAGTTGCTTCACATTTTCGAGCTTTTCCTCTGTTGTAACGCCGGACGATGAGCTGAGCTGTTCTAGTGAGTAAGTTGAGGATAAGGTTACGGAAATCAGTGAGGTTTTTGGTTTCAGACGAACCAATCCTTCTTCTCCACCTTTCCCAATCAACACCCAGGCTTTTCAGAAGCTCTAAATAATATATTATTATATATATATAATCTATACTTTTCCCATCATGCATTAAAAAATGCATACACCAACATCAACAACAACAATATATATTTGCATATATATATAATCTATACTTTTCCCATCATGCATTAAAAAATGCCACACACCAACATCAACAACAACAATATATATTTGCATATATATATAAAACCTCATACCAAGAAGTCTCTCAATACTGACTCTTTTCCCATAGATGGTAAAAATGCCCTGATCATGACAAGCTGGTTTCTGCGTTTGCTCAATACACCTCCTCTGTTCCTATTTTGACCCCAAATTTCTATCTTTTTCTAGTTCTGGTTACTCCTTTCTGTGTGCCTTTGGTGTTTTCTGATAAACCAACCTCACACACACTGACCATTTTCAGGTAAGTTAGAAAGTAGTCCGGGAAGGGAACTGAGATTCTCATCATCATTTTCTTTTGCCTTTTCTTTTCCGTAGCACTGTAGCACTGTAGCACTGTAGCAGTACCTGATAGGAGAGCAGCTAAGCTATCCCATAAAAGTAAAAACTTATTTCTTTCATATATCGTTTTTGTTGTCTTTTTCTTCCTCTGTAATCTGTATGTATCCTGCAGTGTGCTGCTGGCTCATTGAAATTTGTGATCTTTTTTGGAGGGATTTAACAGGCCAGGGCCAGGGGAAAGTGCTCTCACAATCACAAGCTTCTCCTCTCTCCTGGTTGGTTTTTGATGCTAGGAGCATTTCAATACCCTCAGAAATCTTTGAAAACCCCTTGTTTCCTTTGAAGGTAGATTCCTGATATTATTCTCTATTGCAACTTTCTGCTTTTTGCTTCCCAAGAAAAATAAATAAAGTTTTATCTCATTACCAACCAAATGTAAATTATTCTCCTCTTATTTATACTCAAAGCAGAGGTCTATTTTTGCTCTGAGTCTCTTTTTCTCTGTGGTGTGGTTGGCTTTTTGCTCAAAGCACTTCAACTTTTTTATGCTTCAGAGCAACTCCCAATGGCAGATTGGAGGGGTATGATGAGCAAAAGCAGTGGCTTTGGTGGGGGGTCAATGAGAAACAATGAAGATTTTGAAGAAGAAGATGTGTGGGGTGTTGGGAATAATGAGAGGGAAAATTCAAGTCCCAAGATGATGAGGAAGTGTAACAAGGACAGCTCCTCTGCTTCTTCCTCTGCATGGCGCCTCCCTACTGCTCCAAGAATTATCCCAAGGGCTGTTGCTGCTAATACTCCAACCTCCCATGAACCCAAGGTGGTCCAAAAATCAGCTCCTCAGAACATCCCTGATTGGTCAAAAATTTATGGCAAGAGTGCCAAGATTGGTTCTTGGGTTCATGATGATGATGATGGGTATGGTGTCAATGGTGGTCATGTTGCTTACGAGGATGGGGGGCATCATCATGATCATGGTGTCAGTGATGATGATGATGATGTTAATAATGATGGTGATGGTGATGATGATGATGGTATGGTCCCTCCACATGAATGGGTAGCTAGAAAGCTAGCAAGAAGCCAGATTTCATCTTTCTCTGTGTGTGAAGGGATTGGAAGAACACTCAAAGGAAGAGACCTCAGCAAAGTAAGAAATGCTATTTTGACAAAAACTGGTTTCTTAGAGTAATTAATTGCCTTCATCTCATCAGTCCACCATTATTCTATTTCAATTTCAATTTACCATCAAAATCATTGTTAGCCATGAGGGTCCCATGTAATCTTTTTTCATTTTGCTTTGTTTAATTCTTCTTAGAAAATATAGTATGTAGTGTGCTGGCTGGGGGGGTGTGTCCAGTGGAACTTTTACATAGAGAGTCCCTAGCTAAAAGAAAACAGAGGTGCCCTCTTAATGGTGTGTTTTTTTTCCAGTAAAAAAAGAAGATGGAAAAAGTTGAAAAACTATTGGCAGCCTCTGAGATTTTGTATGGTAGTCAAGCCAAGTAACATTTGGTGTTTAATTTAGGTGAATCATGGGTATTTGCAAAGGAGTTGGTAAATCTTCATGCACCCTATCTGCTTTTCAGCTGCTTGCTTAGTTGAAATTTAGCATTATTTTAATATAGTAAAGCTTTTCGTTCTTGTTTAGAACAAGTGATAATAGTTTATTAGATCAACTGAAAAAGTACAAAGAGAGCCATCGAAGTAGCATAACGACGAACACGAATAAAACTTATCCGGTGACTTGAATTAGCCGAAGAGCTTTTCATTCTAGTTTTGCACTTCTAGTCCTCTTCTTCCTCATGCATTATTATTTTTCTTTAGTTTTGGCAGAACATTTGTTTAATTATTTAACTAGTAAATGAATGCTAAACATATTACATCATGAAATGGACAAGTTCTCATCCCATTTGCTTAAGTTTAACATGACATTGCCAATGCCATTGCCATTGCCAATGTGGTTGAGGTCTAGAAGAATTTTCTCTCCAAGACTTGAGTAATTAAAGAGCCACATGAAATAAAAAAGGGTGTTTAATTAAGGACTCACATGCATGTTTTAATTAAGGATTAATTGAAATTCATTATAAGTTTACCTTAAGCCTTTGTTCATGATAAAGGTGAGAACAAAATAACGGTTAAAACCGTTATCTAGAGAATGTCTAGCATGCCTAACTGATACAACTCAGGTCATGAACTTAATCTATGTATAATTATCTCGTTTAACCTTTAATCTTGTATGATCAATATTCTTTTTGATCCGAATAAGGAGCCACCAATAACGTACGAAATTCAAGAATAAAATCGCCTAGATTCTAGTTTCTGTGGAATATTCAGACCAAAAAAAACAACAAATAAATAAAGTATCTGAAAATAAAATAAATTGCTGGCTATTCCCCTTTTGCCGACACGCCACACACACACCTATAACCTAACACATCTTTATGGACATCATTTAAATGTTACATACATGGACCAGCCACCTCTATTTTTGCCTCCCATAATTCGTGATAAGGGTAAATAGATAATGTCTTTTTGACCCTACTAAAATACAAAAACAACAAGGCCACTTTTGGATTTTCACTTCTTTTGTTTTTTGTTTTTACAACATCTTGGTTGCTATTTTTTCATGTTGGGCTGTGTTTGGGATCAAGGGGGCATATTGGACCCTAATAAGTCTTCAATATGCATCAATGGGCCATTGGATCTCTTTTCTCTTGCAAATTCAATTAAATTCCAAATTAAAAGAAAAGCTAAAAAACGATTATCAGTTACATGTGTTTCCCTACTTGACTCAAAACGAAACAGCCTTAATATTGAAAAACTGAATAAACGGCACCGACAATAATAATCCGCAGTTATATATTAAACGGGCTTCCCCATTCTAAATTTTATGCGTTGAGACAACGTACCATTTCAACAGACTTCAGCCCGCATGAGAAAATGAAGCTGTTACTGTTGTTGTTATAGTGAGAAGCGTTTTTGCCAAGGGGAGGGACGGTTCAGTAATTTAGAATATAAGAGAGGGCAGTTAGTGGGTCTTCCTCAGTGCACCTCTCTGGTCTCTGTAAGAGAGAGGGAGAGAGTGTGTCAAGCACTGACTCATCAAGAAGGTGTCCTTTGTCTTCCAGACTCCAAAGAACTCTTTTTTCTTTTCTTTCTTTTCTGGTTTTTTCAGTTACTTGTTTTTATTTATTTATAAATATTTCTTTGTGTGTGGCAAAAGCAGTGCTGGAACGAAATGTCTATGAAGAGCAAAAGATGGGGAGGAGAGGTAACAATGAGGAATGTGATGTCAAGGAACTGGGCTTTTCTGCTATGCTTCTGCAGCTTCTGTGCTGGAGTGTTATTTACTAACAGGTAATTTTCTTTGATGGGTTTCTATCTCTTGCTCTAAATTTGCCATTTCTATTTAACTGTAGAGCTTGTTGTATGTACATTATGCATTTTGGCCAAATGTTTGAAGTCCCGGAATTAATTGGCTTTTGTGGAAGAATCTTGAGGAAACTGTTTTAAATTCTATGTATTTCAGTGGCTAATGATGGCTGCTTAGGTGATTATTCTATGTCCTTGAAATGGGGATCACTAATTGTATTTTCAGAAATTTGAGTTTTTTTCTTTTTCTTTCTAGTTTAGTTTGGAGTTTGGTCTAAGTGCTCTACTTATGCTCGAGTCAATTATATGTGTGATATCACAACTGAAATTAGTGATTTAGTATATGCTTGTCATAATAGTCAAGAATATTTTTTTGTCAGGTTGTGGATGGTGCATGAATCAAGGCCATCTAGAATTGGAGCTGAAAGGATATATTCAGAACCTGATGGTTGTAATCAGAAGCTTGTAAGTGTATTTATTCTCAGGTCTTCAAGTCTTCAGTTGCATAACGAATAGCTTTTGAAAATGAGGTCGGGTTTTGATAGCTGAACAAATTCTTTGGTCACGAATCGAAAACTTCAAAGAATAATGCCATTTAGTCATTACCATGACGATAAAGAATTCTGGGCGAGAGTACTTGCAAATGGAAATCTTTTTAGTCTCACTGCATCACGGATCATGTTTTTGAGAAAAATATTAGGAGGGTTCTCAATATAGAAGGGAGGTTTCTATAGTTTCACTGAACTTTGGGAGAGATTTATTTTATTTACTCTTCTTTCTTTCATATGCAGCTATAACTATACTGATATTTTTGGTTTCACTTTGCCGTTTAATTATTCCGTTAACTTTTTATTAATCCTTTGCCAATGATGTTTTTGTTTGTTTTTTGGTAAATCTTTTCTCCAACTTTCTGCCTATCTTTGAAGGTTATAAAGCACACGTCCAATGATAGTCCAGGGGAAGCTACTAATCATGTCATTCAGTAAGCTATGCTGATGCTTCTTATAAGAAATGCTGCAGTGTCTTGAGGCACCAAAATGCAAGCTTATTGCTAAGTATCTATGCATGCAGGGAGCTAAATAAAACAATTTCAAATTTGGAGATGAAATTAGCCGCTTCCAGGGGAACGCATGAATCTGTACATAATGGCTCTCCTATATCAGGAAATTTGAAGACTGTTCAATCAAATTCTAAAAAAAAGTACTTCATGGTTATAGGGATCAATACAGCTTTTAATAGCCGAAAAAGAAGAGATTCCGTACGTGCAACTTGGATGCCACAAGGTGCATTATGCGTTTAGGTTTAATGTAATTGTGATGTTAATGTGCTACTTGAGTTCCTTATTCGAGTTATGATTAATGGTTTCTAGTTGAAAAATATTTACCAGGCGAGGAAAGAAAGAAGCTGGAAGAAGAGAAGGGCATAGTCATACGGTTTGTTATAGGTCACAGGTGAGGTTTTTGCCATGCCTACTTCAATCCAGCGTCAGTGGCCTAATTATACTTCCTATGCTATTGAATATGAATTTCTGTAATATCGACATTTATTGATTTTGCTGTTGTTACTAGTTCGACGGCTGGTGGTATTCTTGATAAAGCTATTGAAGCAGAGGAGCAAGTCAATGAAGACTTGTTGAGGCTGGTGATTTTTTTGTTCATTTTAGTCAAATATTATTTTTCATGGTTTTGCTGCAGTGGAATTATTCTTATATCTAGCAGGCCGTTGCAGTTTCTGATACATACTACATATGCAGAACCATGTTGAGGGCTACCTGGAATTATCAGCCAAGACAAAGACCTATTTTTCAACAGCTGTTGCTTTGTGGGATGCTGAATTTTATGTCAAAGTTGATGATGATGTCCATGTAAATTTAGGTAACATAAATTTAATATTTTTCCCATATCGGTTCATTTCTCAAAAGTTGCTCAGGATTGCATTAGACCATATATTTGTTTGACTGCATTACTAACATTATAGCTCAACATTTTAATTTATCCCTTTTTCAACCTGTTGGTTTAATTTGCGTTTCATTTACCACAGCAACACTTGGAATGATTCTATCTAAACATCATTTGAAACCCCGAGTCTATATTGGTTGCATGAAGTCAGGTCCAGTCCTTGCTCGAAAGTAAGCAGAGTGGTCTATTATTTTTCAGTTGGATTTATATTTAGATATTGGTGAGCATGGTTTTCATGGTATTTTTATTGTGGAATAGGGGAGTGAAATATCATGAACCAGAGTATTGGAAATTTGGTGAGGTGGGAAACAAGTATTTTCGACATGCTACAGGACAGTTATATGCTATCTCAAAAGATTTGGCAACTTACATATCAATAAACCAGTAAGTTCGTGCTTTGTCTTTATTCTTTGAGCTAAATGAAACTCAAAGCCTTTAATCCTGTTGATGATTGAATGAGTTGCAATATTAATTAGATACTATAGACTTTGTGCTTCTTAATCTTTGATTTGTTCTTATTTCCTGATTGTGGAAGGGATGTGCTGCACAAATATGCCAATGAAGATGTTTCATTGGGATCTTGGTTTATTGGTTTAGACGTAGAACAGGTGGATGATAGAAGACTCTGTTGTGGTACCCCACCAGGTAATTTGAAAATCTTTGACTCTCCTGTAGTAGTTCTCGTTTGAATGATTGTTTTGCCTATGGTCATTCGAGATATAATAACTATAGCTTGGGGGTTGCACCTGCAGTATGGGGCAGAGCCTGCCATCTGTCTTTAGTAGGAACTTAAAGCATGAAATCCAGAAGTAGACAAATAGGTAAATTCCTGCTTACATGCATGCTATGGAGTTGATGGTGTAATATGTTTTGCAGATTGTGTGTGGAAGGCTATGACAGGCAACATCTGCGCTGCTTCATTTGATTGGCGATGCAGCGGGATTTGCAGGTCTGTTGAGAGGATAATGGATGTTCACGAACGTTGCGGTGAGGACAAGAACGCTATTTGGAATGCGAGGTTTTCTCAATGAATGGCTGATATTCTTCCAATCTCATGAAGGATGTGCGGATAATCTGGAAAAAACATGCAGATGTTTTTTATTTTTCCATTCCCGCCCAGGCTATGTCTACGTTGATATAGAGAATGTACGTAATACCAAAAATATAGAATGATTACACAGTTAAGGAAAAGGGATTGCCGTTGGGGGCCATTCTCCGTGGAAATCAATCCCCATGGCAGCTGGAAAGATGAAGATAGATTTTCTAACAACCCCATTCTTTTGATGGTGGGGAGCTATATTGTAAGTTCTCTGCCATGGACTAGGCTTCATATTCATAATATGTTTCCAGATATGTTTGTCGTATGCCTTCACTCTCCTTTCCTAGTTACAAATGATTATTATTGTCTTTATTCTGTACATCTAATAATACAACATCGAGTCAAGATTAATGAATAATGAATTGCATGTTGAATTGCTTGCCAGTGGAGCAAATATGCAATTCAGTTGGGGTTTTGAACAATTATTATTTCGTTTTTCAAAATTCATCATCTTTTCATAACATATCCGGCAAATAGTAATCTTCCATTGTTAATCCTCAAGGTAGGTACCTATGTTAAAGACAGCGACAACATGCAACCTGTTTTAAGAAACTACATGGTTTTGGCCAAAGGGAAGGTGACCTTATAAGTAATTTCCAATTTGGAATATTAGAAAGAATGCAGTTCGTAACGGTGGGTCTTCGAATAAAAAAGGGAGAAAATAATGGAATATAAGCAATTAATACCATATAATACGTATTGGCATTCACATTATACATACCAAAGTAAGAGTGTATATTATATACGTGTCTAGCTTTTAGCTCTTAGTGTCATGATCATTGTTTGTTAATGTGATGTATTGACATTCACATTACATACATAACAAAAGGAAGAATATATATGTTTCATATGATCACTAAATTAAAGTGTGGGTCTTTAGTATGAATACTAAATTAAAGTGTGGGTCTTTAGTATGAATACCACGTTTAGGTCATTGTTGAGTTCCTCTCAAGTTAGTGTCAAATCATCTAGCAAAATAATAGTACTGAGTGTCCAAGTTTTCAAATTGATAATACTCGAACTTGTACTTAATAAAATCCAGGTAATGTTGCATAATCATATATGTAATCCCCTCCTCCAACTCCATTAGATGCTCGACTACTACTAGGTCCACAAGTCCAATTTTGTGGGGCTACCATGTCTAGCTCATCGTTGAGTTCCTCCCAAATTAGTGTTGAATCATCCAACATGATAATGGTACGAGTATGCTCGTCAAAGTCATCCAATTTTTCAAATTGATAAGACTCAACTTGTACTCAATGATATCTGATAATGTTGCATGATCATAATTGTAATCCCCTCCTCCAACTCCGTTCAATTTAGATGCTCGACAAGGTCCACAAGTCCAAACTCCGTTCAATTTAGATGCTTGACAAGGTCAACATGGTGCACAAGTCCAATTTTGTGGGCTACCATGTCTAGCTCATCGTTGAGTTCCTCCCAAGTTAATGTCGAATCATCCAACAGAGTAATGGTACGAAAATTATCCTCTTCCAACTTCTTTCGACATAGATCCTCAACATGGTACACAAGTCCAATTTTGCAGGCTACCAGATCTAGCTTATCGTTGAGTTCCTCCCAAGTTAATGCAAAATCATCCAGCAGAATAATGGTACGAGTATTCTCGTCAACGTCGTCCAAATTTTCAAATTGATAATACTCAAACATGTATTCACTAAAATCCTGATAATGTTGAATGAACAAACCTGTATTCACTAATATCATGATAATCCCCTCCTCCAACTTCATTAGACATAAATGCTCGACATGGTCCACAAGTCCAATTTTGTAGGCTACCACATCTAGCTCATCACTGAGTTCCTCCTAAGTTAGTGTCGAATCATCTAACAAAATAATAGTACAGATATCAACGTCAAAGTCATCCGAGTTTTCAAATTGATAATAATGGAATTCATATTAGTTGATGGTGGAGATAATGACTAGGTGCATACACTGAGGTGGATATAACCAACATGTCATGGGATGTTGTTGTTTCAGCCAAACTAGAAGGGGTGTTCGACTACGAGGACATTGATATACACTCCTCACAAGGTAGTAATCCAGTAGTTGATTTCTATATTTGTTCTATTATGTGATGTACTTCTCCACTTCACTTGCGTTAATTTTTATGTTTCTTCTTTTTAATTTGGTTATTTTGGTCTGGAGTATGAAGATGGGGGAATTGATGTAGACGACCCTCAGGGTGCTCCCGATGAGGATCCAAATGAGTTTGACACTAACTTAGACTAGGAAAAAAAAACATAGCTAAGTATGAAAACCAAGGTTTGATCATAATTTAGTAAGTTAATTAAAGTATACTATAATCAACCACGTTGAACCATTCCTAGTAGATCTTTTGGTGCTCTTTAGGGCACAGAGCAATGGGATCATATCCAATCGCTATTTGAGAGTGAACAAGAAGTTAGAAATTGAAAAACCAAATGAGAAATGAGATTATGAGAGCGGTGTATATGTTTTTATAAAAAGAAGTTTCTAGATGATAAGAAATCAAGATACTTTTTCTCTAGTTTCATTTCACACACATAAAGTGAAGCTCAATTTTAGTACAAAAAGCTAGTTACTAGGATGCTCATGTGTTAAGTGGATATATGTAGTTTATATTATATATAACATAATGGAGGATTTAGACCTTCAATATGTGCACGTATTTAGGATAATTGATGGAGCATCGCAAACCATTGGGCATATGGACCCTCAGGACTATCTGAATGCGGATGATTAAATATGTTCTGATCCAACATGGTTGTTTAGATATGACGAAGTATAGTTTTAAGTATTATTCAGGAGGGACTGAACTCTACATATTCGACTTGCCTTGGCAGCAAGTTCTTGACCTCCTAAAACTTGTGCACGTCATACATAACATTCAAGAGGCAAATGATTTAGATAAATAGGATGAAGATGATTTGGATGAATGGGATGAAAGAGATTTAGATGAAGGAGATGATACTAGAAATGGAGAGGGAATGTATGTAGGCGACCCTCAGGGTGTTCCCGGTGAGGATCCAAATGTTAAGTATGTTCAGGTGATTAGAATTATTAGTGACACGGTTTCCCATAAAATTAGACTCGTGAACGTTTTGGAGTTTATGAATGTGATGGAGTTAGAGAAACATATTATAAAGATTCTCATGCATTATTACCTGGATTTCACTAACTACAATTTTGAGTACTACGATGTTTTTGGTCAGCTCGATCTATCGGCATTGACTTGGTAGGAAATCAAGGATCATTTATGCGATGTATAGGCCGAAGAGATTGGAATATATTGGATTAGATTTGAAATAGATTGAAATAGATTGGATTATATTGGATTACACTAATCCAACCCTATGTTTTGTGCTACACATGATTAATGATTACAATATTGCAAAGCAACTGGAAGATGGAGTTCAAAATAAACGAGTTTAATATTGCATCATCGTTACAAAATTCCATTGACCTTCACTATGTATAGGTGTTTAGGACAATTGATGAAGCATCGTAATAGATTGGGTTTTTGGACCATTGGGACTATATGAATGCGGAGAAGTTAGAGCGGATGATTAAATATGTTATGATCCAATATGGTTGTTTATATACGGCGGAGTATGGTTTTAAGTATTATTCACGAAGCACTTGGTACATGTTTGAGGATTATCATTTTGAAAACTTAGACGACTTTGATGAGGATAATCACACTATTATTTTGTTGGATGATTCAACATTAACTTGGAAGGAACTCAATGATGAGCCTAATGTATCATCTAGCCTATTGTATTATTATTTATGTTGGAGAGGAAATGAATCCAGTGGAGGACCCATCATCATGGGGATGAAACTGATATTAATTATAGTAATGATGGTCCGAGTAAAATGGTGAAGGTTGTTAGGATAGTTGATGATGATGATAGTCAAGAATACTTAGTTGACAAAATAAACCTTAGTCATTACCGTTATGGATGAGAGTTGGAGGTGAATGGTGCCAAGTATTGTAAGGTGATAAAAAACTTTGGGCTGGATATGCGGAAGAATTTACTGAGTGTGGTCGCTTGGCTACCTTACATGAGCAGGTGAAAAATATCCTCAGGGAAATCGAGAAAGATCTCACACTTAATGAATATCGTATAATATATTTCAAAGACTGGACGCCTATACATTTCACTGAGGTGGATATAAGCAACATGTCATGGGAGATGTTGTTTCGGGCAAGCTAGAATGGGTGTTCGACTACGAGGACATTGACATACACTCCTCACAAGGTAGCAATTTAGAAGTTGATTTCTATGTTTGTTATATAATTTGATATACTTATCCATTTCACTTGCATTAATTTTTATGTTTCATCTTTTTAATTTGGTTCTTTTGATATGGAGGAAGAAGATATGGGACTTAATGTAGACAACCCTTAGGGTGTTCCTGATGAGGATCCAAATAAGTTTGACAATAATCAAATCCTATGTTTGGTGCTATACATGATTAATTATTAAATTAATGCATAGCAACTAGAAGATGGAGTTCAAAATCTCCTTATGGAACAAGTGCAATACTGCGTTACAGATACCAAACGTCATTGACCACCCAATATATCATGAGGTAACTTTGAAAGGATAATCGTCAAAATTGGACAAATCTTCGTATATTTCAAATGGATTGGGAGGACGTTTTTAAGTGGCTATCGTAGTTTATGTCATAGATAACATAATGGAGGATTTAGACCTTCACTATGTGTAGGTGTTTAGGACAATTGATGGAGCATCACAATATATTGGGTTTTTGGGCTCTTGGGACTATACGAATGCAGAGGAGTTGGAGCGGATGATTAAATATGTTATGATCCAAAGTTGGAGCAAAGCTAATAAAGATGGTTAGTTTTTTTATGTTTTTTTTTTAGGATTCAAAATGTACTTGTGTTCTCTCCACTCATATTTTATTTTTCTGCTGCTTATTAGGTTACTTTCATATAGAGAGCATCATTGAGGGTAAAGATATGAATGTAGATGATCCTGAGGCTCCTGCCACCGAGGATGACATGGATTTGAGTGACAACAATGGAGATGAAGGAGAGGATGATACTGAGGATGAAAGAGCAGGTGGTGATGGAAGTGGTTCCAATAATGGTGGGGGTGATGAGGATGGCTTCAACTCCTCCTTCAACGGTGGTCTTATGTCACTTCTTATTATACGAGTAATATCGCATGAGAGCAAGCATCAGGTGAGATTTATGCGTGATTACTTTGAATGTGGCAGCGTACCTGCTCTAGAACAACGGGTGAAGGGTATCCTTAGACAAAAAATTTAACAGAGATACATTTCACATCACCTACTTTAGAC